ATCAGCGGGCAGCGATTGATCCAGCAGGGGGGGCGGAGGGGTCAATTTATCGCGTTTAACATAGACACGATAAATCGACTGCTAAGCGCTCTCCCATCGACTCCGATACTCCACCAGAACGAAAAGCGCAAGCGGAGTTGTGACGTTATTGACATAATCTGGGACCATATAGAACATGGCTGCAACCAAAGTCCTGTAGTGGCACCAAATCTTGTATAAAGTGTTTAAGACAAGGTTATGGTTTGCTGGTTATAATTATGCTATCTATATGTGTGTATCGATTTTGTAGTTGAAGTTATGAATATTGGCTCTATACTGTCTGTATTTCAAACTTATGCTATGCTTCTGGGAAATTTCCCAGACAAGTTGGTGTTATCTCTGCCTAGCCTGCTTGATGGCCCATTAAGGACCATCAGTTATACAACTGACCCATTGAGAGAAGGCAGATATGCCTTGCAACTCAGCAAAGTATGCAGGGACTGGCCCATGTGACTCCAGACTCCATTTTGCTGTAATTTTCCACAGTAAGGACGAAGGTGATCTTACACCTGGAAAAGATTATAAAAGGCTGATGCCTCTCCTCCATCTTGTCTTCAATCCTACTTCATACCTGTGGAGGAACTTTGCTACAAACTGAAGCTCTGAACAAAGGACTGATGACCCATCCCAGCTGGGGATGTATTCCAGAGACTTGATTTGAACCTGCAGTTTATTTCATCACTGCTACAAGCCTAAACCAAGAACTTTGCCATTACTGTATGTAATTGATTCCATTTATCCATTTCTAGCTCTCATCTATATCTTTTTTCTTTTATGAATAAACCTTTAGATTTTAGATTCTAAAGGATTGGCAACAGCATGATTTGTGGGTAAGATCTGATTTATATATTGACCTGGATCTGGGGCTTGGTCCTTTGGGATCAGGAGAACCTTTTTTCTTTTATTGGGATATTGGTTTTCATAACCATTTGTCCCCATAACGAGTGGCACTGGTGGTGATACTGGGAAACTGGAGTGTCTAAGGGAATTGCTTGTATGACTTGTGGTTAGCCAGTGGGGTGAGACCAAAGTCTTCACTGTCTGGCTGATTTGGTTTGCCTTAGAGGTGGAAAAACCCCAGCCTTGGGCTGTAACTACCCTGTTTTAAGCGATTTGTCCTGAATTGGCGCAAGCAGTTGGGTCCCACCAGAACTGCATCGTTACAGGTGTCAACGGGAGAGCATCAGCTGTTGACTTACCAACGAATACACCGCGGTAAGTTGATCTAAGCAGGGCTGCCCAGAGGATTCAGGGGGCCTGGGGCAAAGCGGGGGAGCTTGTACTCACCGGGCAGCGCTCCGAGCCTGTGGCGGCGGCATTTCGGCGGCGGGGGGCCTTTCAGTCGCTCCACGTCTTCGGCAGCACTGAAGGGCTCCCGCTGCCGAAATGCCACCGAAGACCCAGACCGCCGCTGGGTGAGGAAAGGGATTCTCGGCCAGGGCTCGCGGGGCCCCTGCTTGCCCTCCCCCCCCCTCTGGGCGGCCCTGGATCTAAGTACATCAACTTTGGCTATGCTATTCACATAGCTGAAGTTGTGTATCTTAGATCGACCCCGCGTGGCAGTGTTGACAAAGCCCTGCATTTTCATACTTTCAAAGATTGGGTTTCTTTTAACTTTACTCTTAACTCTGAATATACTGGGTTTCTAATGCTAATTTTTGATAACTATAAAATTATTGTAAGATTATTTACCCTTAAGTGACCGTTACGTACTGTAAATTGTAACTCCAGATTAACCAAATTTAAATTTAGTCTTAGACTGGGAAACCAACCCTTTGCCTCAAATACATGATTTCACGTTGCTGCACATCTTGTAAATACTACCATACATATATTTAACATAGTGCACAGATGTATGCGGTTCAACTGCTCTATTAATTGATGCCATTAAGTTGTATCTAAAACAGCTTGAGCAATGAAGAAAGATTGACAAACATAAAATCTTAAAGTTTGCACTATTTGTTTCAGCCTTCAAGAGACCCCATCAACTTGAAAAATAGTTGACTCCAGAATATTATTTAAAGTCAGGCTCAGATACTTCTGAGTATCACCATCTGAGTCCTCCTGCTAGTTGTTCATTTTGCAATTGCAATTTCCTATTTTTAAAAGTGAATTTTTTGTCCTATTGCTGTGTGAAAGACCTATGCAAACAGTGGAAACTGACTAAAGCCAAGATGCTGTAGAAAGTTACTTCAGTGCTTAACTTTACTTTTTTCAGTTTTAATGACCTAAATTTAAGGCAGTTTCACAAACTTTGGAAGAGGCAGTGTGGCCTATTGCAGCGGCTCTCAACCTTTCCAGACTACTGTACCCCTTTCAGGAGTCTGATTTGTCTTACGTGCCCCAAATTTCACTTACAAACTACTTGCTTTCAAAAAACAGACATAAAAATAGAAAAGTGTCACAGCACACTATTACTGAAAAATTGCTTGCTTTCTCATTTTGTTTGTATGAAATTTTAGTTTGTACTGACTTTGCTAGTGCTTTTTATGTAGCCTGTTGTAAAAGTAGGCAAATATCTAGGTGAGGTGGAAGACCTCTGTGTACCCCGAGGGGTACATGTACCTAGGGTTACCAACTTTCTAATCGCACAAAACTGAACACCCCCGCCCCTTCCCAAGGCCCCGCTTCCGCTCGCTCCATCCCCACTCCCTCCGTCGCTTGCTCTTCCCCACCCTCACTCACTTTCATAGGGCTGGGAAGAGGGTTAGGGTGTGGGACGGGGGTGAGGGCTCTGGCTGAGGGTGCGGGCTCTGGGGTGGGGTCAGAGATGAGAGGGCTCCAGGCGGGGGTTGGGGTGCAGGGGGTATGGGCTCTGGGTAGGGTGACCAGATAGCAAATGTGAAAAATCAGGATGGGGATGGGGGGTAATAGGTGCCTATATAAGACAAAGCACCCGAATATCAGAACTGTCCCTATAAAATCAGGCCATCTGGTCACCCTAGCTCTGGGTGGGGCCAAAAATGAGTGGTTCAGGTTACAGGAGAGGGCTCTCGTCTGGGGCAGGGGGTTGGGGTGAGGGCTCCGGCTGGGGGTTCAGGCACTGGGGTGGGGCTGGGAATGAGGGGTTTGGGATGCAGGAGGGGGCAGGGTGTTGGAGGGGTGGGAGGGGACTCTGGGCAGGGGGTGCAGAGGGGGGGTGAGGGCTCCGGCTAGGGGTGTGGGTTCTGGGGTAGGGGCTGGGGACGAGGGGTTTGGAGTATTAGGGGTGTGTGTATGTGTGTGGGCTCCGGGAGGGAGTTGGGGTGCGGAGTCCCAGCGGTGCTTACCGTGGGTCCCAGGAATTGGCCGCCAGGTCCCTGCAGTTCCTAGGTGCACGGGTGGCCAGGGAGGCTCCATGCACTGCTTTTGCGCCTGCAGTCGCTGCCCCCGCAGTTACCATTCATCACAGTTTCCGGCCAATGGGAACTGCGAAGCTGGCCCTTGGGGCAGCGTGCAGAGCCTCACTGGCCACCCATGCATCTAGGGGCTGCAGGGAACTGGCGGCTGCTTCCAGGAGCTGCACAGAGCGAGGGCAGGCAGGGATCCTGCCTTAGCCCCGGGCCCCTAACAGGACTTTTAACGGCCTGGTTGGCAATGCCGACGGGAGCCACCAGGGTCCCTTTTCGACCGGGCGTTCCAGTCGAAAATGGGTCACCTAACAACCCTACATGTACCCCTGGTTGAGAACCATTGGCCCACTGGATAGATCACTGGCCTGAGACTCTATTCCCAGCTGTCCAACTACTCTGCTGGGTAATCTTGGATAAGTCACTTCACCTCCCTGTGCCTCAGTTTCTTCCTGTGTAAAACGGGGATAGTACTTACCGCCTTTGTAAAGCACTCTACTGATGAAAAGAGCCACCTAAGTGCAGCCTCACAAACTTGAGCAGGATATTAGTCTCAACTGCATTGCACGTTGAGGCTGGATAAATCACAGGCAGCGTCTCACTAAAACGTTGCCCACCTCTCCAGAAACCAACCAAGCAAACAAAACACTTGCATACTGCAATGTCACCCACCATCAAGCACCCCTGCAATGTCACACCACCCTCCCGCTCTCCCCTTTATTGCTTGATGCAATGCCCAGAGTGGCAGCATGCGCACAGATGGACTTGGGTAGCACGGATAGAATCATTGCACTCCTCCAGCTCTCCCCACGACAAGGGAAAAAGGCATTGGAGATTGGTGGGGGATGGGGAAAGAGTCCCCCCACTCACCCAGCAATCTATAAAACTACAGGTCCCAGCATGCTCCGGGCGCGCGTGCGCAGTGACGTCCCAGCGCCCTTTCGAGACGCATGCGCTGCGGCGTGCGGGTCGGTTGAGTAACGCGGGGTGCGATTGGCTGCGGGGAGGCGGCCGAGTGTGGGAAGCGCAGTGACGGAAGGAGCGGGGGGCAAATGGCGGAGAGATGGTCCAGGGCCCTGTTCAAAGAGCAGCGATAATCCTGGTGCGGAGAAAGCGGCGCCGGAGGAGGCGGCGCCGGGGGTCCTAGCGCCAGCGCGCACCCCCCACCCCGGCGAGGGAGGCTCCGCTGGGGGGGAGGGACGCGGAGGAGTCGCGTTGGCGAGCGTGTCCGCGGGCGGAGACTCGGGGCCGAGGAAGCCCAGGTAGCCGCGTTCTCGGGGGCGAGTTCGGAAAGTGCCGAGAGCAGGAGAGGGGTCCCCCGCCGCCTCCTTCCTCCCTGGGTGAGACTGAGGTAGGTACCGAGCGGCAGGGAGAGACCGGGCCGGCTGCCCGGCTCCCTTGGCCTGTGAGGCCTCCAGTCCTGGGAGAAGGCCCCATTGCTCCTTCCACCGGGGCTGCCCCCCACCCCGTGTCTCCTGGTCTCTATCGCGGGGGCGGGGGGCAGCCCCTCGAGTGGGGAGGAGACTGGAAAATTCCAGCGGCCTAGGAAGTCCGGGGGGGGCGGGCAACTTTCCCTCAACGCAGGTCCCTGCGAGCCGGGCCCGGAAGTTTGCGGGGAGGGGGGAAGGGGAGTTGAGGGAACTTTCCCCACCTCCCACAGTAGCTCGGAGGCTGGCTTCAGGCGCTGCTGTCTGGTGTGCAGAGGAGCAGGTGGCGCTTAATCCGGGTTGGGTGCGGAGCCTGCTGCTTCCTGTTCGCGGGGTGGGAGCCTCCTTCGTCACTAAACACTTTGGGCAGCTATTTCGTTCTTACTGCTTGGAGGTGGAGGGGCCTGAGGTGCGAGGGCAGGGGGGGGACCCCGTATCACAAATGGAGTCTATATGATGGTACAGGATGATGGTGCCTCCCCTGGGATTTCATCAGCTTCGTATGTCTCGCGTTTAAACAATTTTTCTTCCCTTTGATCATGGAAGGGAAACGATGGGTAAAAAGTAAGGAGAAGCGGGCTACTTTCCACCTTTAAAACTAACAGTCAGTCAGGTCTGATTAGGCCTTAGTTAGCTTTTCAGAAAACAGTATTTAAAATGACGAGGAATACGGTTCTTAAAATGGGTTTCAATGAACAGATTGCAGTAAACAGTTTTTTTGTATTTATATTGTCTGCATTGTTTGGTGCCCAGACATTGCGCCATTGTGCTAGAGTAGGAGAACTAGAAAGTGCTAGGGCATAGAAACCAGAAAGCGAAACTAAAAAATATATTGTTGAAGCTGAGTGGAAAAGCAAGAAGAGAGTCAGCATTAATAAATGAAAGTTAAATTAGTTTTTAAATATTCTGTAATGCATTTCTGTGTTCTTGTATAGTCTTACCAAAAAATTCTAATAAAAATGTATAAGACCGTTAAGCATCTGTGAAAATATCAGTATATTTTATTATGAATATAAGGAGGTTAGTCTATATGGTAGGGCTTTATAGCCTGCAATTAAATTACTTTTGGTAACTTGCTGTTTTTTTAAAGCAGTTTTTTGTGATTATTTAGATTTGCCAATATTTTTGCAGAGTGCTGAAGATGAAGTGCTATAAGTCTTTGAATCAAGGTTTGACAAAACTCACGTGTTGTTGGTGAATTAAAAAAAAAGTTTCCCAAGTGTAGGAGCTGTATAGGTTATCAATTTATACAAAATTCAGTGTAATATTTTGTTTCTAACCCTTGTGGTAGTAAAGATGACATTTCAAATATGAACTGTTCCTGTACTGTCTTTTTGAGTCTTCAGACACAGATCAGTTGCCTCTGCTGTTACTCGTTCCTGAGCAGCAACATAGTAAAACTAATCATTTTGGTAAGCTTTGCTCTGTTGTTTTAAAACATGTGGAGCAATAAGGATCACCTCAGGTTCACTCAGCTCCTTGAGGGGAAAATGGAACATTAGAGGCAAATATTGAACTATTTACATAGGAGAAACAAAAATGAGATTTAGAGAGTAGCTACTGCTCAACAGCCAGGAGATTCTAGTTGGGTGTGAAGGGGGAGAGAGAATCACAGAGCATGCTAATTCTACCAGTAGCCAGAGGTGTCAGTTTCAAATTAATCCTGCAAAATAGCAGAAATGAAAGATGGAGCAGAGTTCAGGAGTAATATCTGTAAATCCTGTCATCATCCTCTGTATTAACTACTGTAAAGGTGGAATTCTCAAGAGGATGTTATTGTAAGATATGACATTAACAGTGTAAACTTCTTAAGTCCTAGCATGGTGTATTTCTAGTCTTCTTATGCCCAGGACCAAAGACTGAAAATTTGTTTGTTACTATGGCAAGTGAAACTTGGCCCCGCCAAGGAAAGGGTGATTAATATAAATAAGATTCTTACTAGAGATGACTATTGGAATAACATGGCTGGAAGACAGTCTGGTCTTGTGGTCAAGCTTTTTCAAATATTTCAAGTTAAGAAATTATTTAGACCAAAATGAAAAGAAAAATTTCAAGAGAAAGCAAAATGATGCAACTGTCCAGAGGAAAAGAATAGTAAGGTGAGTAGAATTTTTGCAGGTACAGGACGCACACAAAAAGTCACTTATTAATTTTTCTGGCCATAATATGGGTATGCATAAATGGTAGCTTACAAATTTGAAATCCTTTACCATACATTAACTATTAAGAAAGGAAAATTCTTCTCAAGGCAACTTTGTACCCCAATTTAGGATTAATAGGAACAGATATTTACCTAGGATCAATGGAAATTTTCCATAAGTTCTAAAAATAAATAAATAAATAAATAAAATCAGTGAGATGTCTAATCCTATCCCCATAGCATTTGCCACTCCATATCTATGTTTGCAGACCTGCAATTTGAAATTTACTGTAAAATGTAACTTGATCCATTATCAGTGCCCAGGCTGAGGAAATCTAAAAGTAAATAGCGTATATAGGGAAAATAAATGTTTGACATTTTTAATAATCTAAAATATAGACAAGGTATTTTTTTTACCTGTCTTCCTCTTTAAATTAAAATAAGGGCAGCAGTGAAACAGAGAGAGAATTGTTCAAACATGTTTCCATTTAACCTGTGATAGTGTTTTCTTAAACTTAGCCACATCCGCAATGGCCAGTGAACAAAGTTGTTTCAACTACTCTTACATTTCTATGATAACAAGAACATTTAGGTTTAAAGGGACCTTGAGAGGCCATCTAGTTCATTTTCCTGTGGTGAGGCAGGGCCAACTATACCTAGACCATCCCTCATAGGTTTTTGTCCAACCTGTTCTTAAAAACCTCCAGTGATGGAGGTTCCAAAACCTCTCCTGGTAACCTGTTCCAGAACTTAATTATCCTTCTGGTTAGATTCCTTTTCCTAACATCTAACTTAAATCTCCCTTGCTGCAGAGTAAGCCCATTGATTCTTGTTCTATCTTCAGTGGATATGGAAAACAACTGATCACCATCCTTTTTATAACAGCCCTTAACGTATTTGAAACTGTTACTGTGTTTCCCCCTCAGTCTCTCTCCAGTTTGTCCACATCTTTCCTAAAGCGTGGCGACCAAAACTGTCCGCAGTACTCCAGCAGAGGCCTCACCAGTATCAAGTGGGACATTTACCTTCTGTGTGTTATGTTCCTGTTAGTACACCCCAGAATGATGTTAGTTTTTCTTACAACTGCATCACATTGTTGACTCATGTTCAGTTTATGATCCAGTATAACCAACATATTCTTTTTAGAACTACTATCATCTGGCCAGTTATTCCCTATTTTGTATTTGTGCATTTGATTTTTCCTTCTTATGGGATTACTCTGCACTGTATGGAATTTACAGATTTCATCTTGTTGAATTCAGAGCAATTCTCCAATTTGTCAAGGTAATTTTGAATTCTGATTCTGTCCTCCAGAATGCTTGTCACCCCTCCCAACTTGGTGTCATCCTCAGATTTTATAAGCATATGGTCGGAGCATGCCTTTATCCAAGTAATTATTGACAATATAAATATCAGAATCCAGGTCAGACCCCTGAATGACCCCACTAGATACTTCTTCTGTGTGACACCCAATCATTTATAACTACTGCAGGACTACCGGCCTTCAATCTGTTGTGCACCCCCCTTACAGTAATTTTATCTAGTCCACATTTCCCTAGTTTGCGTATGAGAATGTCCTATGGGACTATGTCAGAAGCCTTACTAAAATTCAAGTGTCTGCTACTTTTCCCCCCCATTCACCAGGCCAGTAACCCTGTCAAGGAAGGAAATTAGTTTGGTTTGGCATGATTTGTTCTTGACAAATCCGTACTGGTTATTACTTATAACCCCTATTATCCTTGAGGTGCTTACAAATTGGTTGTTTAATAACTTGTTCCAGTATCTTTCCAGGTTTAGAAGTTAGGCTGACTTGTCTATAATGTCCTGGATCCTCCTCCTTCTCTCCCCCTCCCCTTTTTAAAGATAGGTACTCTGTTTGCCCTTCTTAAATTGTCTGTGACCTCCACGAGTTGTCAAAGACAATCATTAATGGTTCTGAGATTGCTTCAGCTAGCTGCCTAAGTACCCTACGGTGAATTTTGTCAGGCCATGCTCACTTGAATATATCTTATTTACCTAAACATTATTCAAAATGTTTTTTCCTTATTCTGGCTTGTGTTCCTTCCCCCTTGTTAATGTTAATATTGTGTTAAGCATCTGATCACAATTAAATTTTCTGTTGAAGACTGAGGTTTGGCTGTGGTTGCACTGGGTATCCTGAACAGTATTAGAAATGGATTTAGCTAGGACTATATACTTTGTTCCGGGCTATGAATCGTGCAAAAGCTTATTTACAAGCCGGACTTAATACATTATGGATTATGGATTATGACAGTGGTCTTTTTCTGGTTAATAACACTATTTGTCCTTGCATGCACAGATGGGGCAAAATACATCACAGCAATATTACTAACGAAACCTTACCTCAGCCTTGTGAAAAGAGCATAAAAGAGTGAAGTCATCATTGCTGTTTACAATGACTTGAGATTTGAGGCAACTACAGAATTGTGAAATATTTTAACACTTTTCTTTTACGACAAAAATACCTTTTAAAAACCAGACTGGATTATAGAGTCTAACTACTCTAATATGAGTTGCACATACAAATGCAGCAGGAAAATGGTCTAAAGTTAAACAAAATACACACAGCCTTTTTAATTTTAATAAAAATAATGGCCTCAAACCTTGGAAATAAAGGTATTATGTAGGAGTTCTGACATGAGAATAGAACAATCCAAATATTTATTCATAGCAGATACGTTTTTACAGACTCAGGGTGGTGAATTTCTACTAATTAAATGGGGACAAGTAAGTGACTGTTTTAAATTGATAGGCATGATGTCTGTTGCAGAATTCACTTTAAAAAATACACATGGGTAAATGAAGGGAATTATGCCAGTCAAAAATAAACAGGCAATGCTGTATACAGTACGATCTTAAAACTAAAGTGTCCAGTGTGCTCTAATAAAGAGTGGGAAAATAATCACTTAAACTAGTTTCTGTATATTGTTACTCTTTAGTGCATCTAATTTTCTCTTCCCACAGAGAATATGAAACAGCTGTCAAAATGACATCCAGATTTGGAAAGACATACAGCAGGAAAGGGGGAAATGGCAACTCAAAGTTTGATGAAGTCTTTTCTAACAAACGGACCACCCTTAGCACAAAATGGGGAGAAACCACATTTATGGCCAAATTAGGACAGAAGAGGCCAAACGTCAAACCAGATATTTCAGAAATTCCTAAAAAACCCAAAGTTGAAGAGGAGGTAACAGAAGATCCATTTGGATTTGATAGTGATGAAGAATCTCTGCCAGTGTCTTCAAAGAATGTGTCGCAGGCTAAAAGCTGCTCTCAGCTGGAACCCATTGAAGCTGCTCAGTCTGAGGACTTCATTTCTCTACTTGAAGCTAATAGCAGAATTAATCAGCCAATCAGCGGAGACAGCATTGTGTCCAGCAAGAGCATATCTTTTGACAATATTGTTCATGGTTTAAAAGAAGAGAGCACAAACAGAAACATAGAGGATGGGGACAGCAAGAGCAGCAGAGCTAAACTCATAACAGGTAAATTTATATTAAACTGTCTAATAGTATTATTTAAACAGTTAAGCATACTGTGATTTTTAGTAATCTGTGTACAACAACTTTTTAAAATTGCTGCATTGTCTGAGGTTTGGTTAAATGTTGTAATCAGACCTAGGACCAAATAATCTTGCATATCGAGAGCAAAAACTAACTGTGGATACAGAGACGCATACTATATTTTATTAAGTGTAAATAAAAAAGCAGACTCTTGTCTTTACAGTAGTTTGGTTAAGGGACCAGCTACCACTCTCTAAAACAGTGGTGGGCAACCTGTGGCCTGCAGGTTGCCCACCACTGCTCTACAAAGACTAACGTTGCAAGCAGTTCTGAGGTTTATTCTTCCTTCACTATGCATGTATACTTCCACATATTCCCTACCCTCAAGTACAGTTAGTGATTACATGGGTTCTTGCATATGTGATATTATGAAGACAAAGTAAGTCAAGGGATTGGTGATAGTCTGTTTTTATGTAGCTGGTTCAAATCTAGTGCAGACAGGTAGTGAGTGATAAGATTAACATCTGTCCTGGCTATTGACTTGTGTGAAATGAGTGATTGCACTGAATTTCCTCCTGCACAGATGTATACATCACAAAAGCCTTCATAACTGGCATATTAGATTCAATGCAAATCAAATAATTAGAGACGTGTAGATTGAAGTTCCCTCCTCTGACTTCTAGCTGTTTTCAATTCAGTGTTGAGGCAGCATAGAGGATCTGATACTGTTCTCACTTATGCTTTTTTTTGACGAATGCACTTAATTCTTTGGAGCATTGTTGATAAGCACTATATTCACTTTTAAAAGGTTTTTAAAATGATCTTTGATTTCATTTACTTTAGAGCTTTGATGTAAATAGCTGATATCAAAACTAATAAAAATGCAACTTTCTTTTTACCTGTTCAAGTTTTGGAAAATGATGGTTCTTAAAATGTAGTGGGCCATACCAGACCAAAGCCTGTCAAGATGACACCTTGCAGCCTTGCTATATTATTTTTGCTTGGAATGTTACATTAAATTTCTGTAAAAAATTTGAGTCTTGGTATGTAGTTAACTGACCAGAAGAATAAGTGGACCCCAGTCTGTTTGCCATGCAGTAGACCAAAATGGTATTTAATGGCTTAAGATGAGCGTAGCAGGAGTTTGCAAGTAAGGCAGTAGTAGTAATGGATAGAAGAAAATAAATTAAAGTTTGGATTACAATACAAGTTTATTACTATAGGGAAAAATCCACTTGTTAGCCTAATGTTGAAAACATGAGCTGTGGATAAAGAACTGTGAAAATTCTAAATTTATCTAGTTTTATTGGCTATTAACTTAATTACAACAAACAGTGCAAGCCCAGTCACACCAGTTGTTAATTATGTAAATGAGCTAACCCCCTTCAACTTTTTGTATTTGTGAGAGCATAAGTGAGAACAGTATCAGATCCTCTATGTATTAAGTCAATAGAGTATGCTCCTTCACACACTATCCTATCATGGGGATATTAAACAAGTTGTAGGAAACCAAGACAGTAGAAGCAGTTTGATTTTTTTTTAGGGGTAGTGTTTATTTTTCCAAATGAAACTGAGATAGTTGAGCAGCCATTATGTTTGTATCCAGGTTTATCCAAAGCAAAGCACACTATGAAAACATAAACCCGAGCATTGAGCCAGTGGGCAGGGGAGAGTGCAGCAGCTAGTGTAAATATAACTTCTTCAGAGACTTCCTTGTTGCACTGATTACTACTTAAGTAAATCTTGAAATGTAAGGCTACTTTTCAAACCCAGAGAGTTCATTTTATTCATCTTGGGACACTAAAGCAAAGCAACTTGCTTTACTGCTGGTGACTAACCTATGATCACACTTGAGACCTCATCTTAATGTGCAGTAAGGGTGTTTTTCAGTCATGTTAGGTGTTAGGACAACTGAGTTTAGTGTAATTGGAAATCTCTCAATGCTTTTAAGGTTTGGCTAGACTAGGCTTTAAAGGTGTAAAGTTAACATGTGCAAGCATCACATCTTTAAACTTTAGTCTAGATGACCTAAAATGCAGACTAACACATTTGAAACCATGCTATAATGTCTAATCTAAACAGTCAGCTAACATGGCTTCAGATATTACTCTTTCTTAATGAATGTTGAGAGTACTTCAAACATATTTAACTTGATTGAGCTAACACACTAGGTTTTTGCTTGCTTTAAAGTTGCTTGCTCACAAATTTGTTGCAACGTAACTCATTTTTGACTTGAGTTATGACTTTAGTGACCTTCAAATTAAAAGGTATTTGAGGGCAACTAATATGGTAAATCCCTTGTTATGATCGATTGATGTAAAGATGGGATGACTTAATTCTGCTTGAGGAATGTTCATTAAGAGTTCAGTATGCTGAAATATAATAGAGGGATTGTAACAGACTCATAGGCAAAAGTTGCTATTAGGTAATAGGTGTAAGTTTGTCAAAATATACTTATGCTGGGGAGGAAGCTATAAGTAGGGATTTAGTTTTTAAGTGACCTGCTATAAAATACTAATCTGTAATAAAAACAGCTGCTCAATGATAGTCAAAAAGTAAACCTGTACTGGGATCAGATAAAATCCCATGGAGCAGTTCTTATCTGGGTTCCTGACATACTTTATAGAATAACAATTAATCACCACCTTCTGTAGGGCACAGATCCAAAATAGGTATTGCCCATAAAATGTACATGTATGCAGAGTATTAATATTAACTTTTTACATTTGGTATTCTAGCAAAATCTTTTGGCACCTGTTTTCAGAAATCTTGAAATGACCATTTTTATTAAAGGTTGTAAATGAAGCTCATTAATATCCCCTCTTACCTGTTGAAATACATTAGATTTTCAGATGAGATAAAAATGAGATTCTGATCATTTGTCATTAAAGATTTTGTAGCACATTTCACAAGAGGATGGGTGGTATTTTTTAGTATATGTATATTGGGTAAATTCCAATTTGGGTAACTAAATTATACATTTCTTAAATATTCCTGGACCTTGAAACAAATGAAGTATTACTTCCTGCCTTAAATTGTTGTGTGATGTTGTTTGGTAACTTTGCATTTCACGCTAGTGATGGCTGCATTTCACTAGTGGTTGAAGAGATTTATATCCTGAACAAAGTTTAAGGAATTTAAGGGCCCTATCCATAAGGAATATCTTACCAAATTCACCAGTCCATTATGGTCATAGGATTTGAAAATTGGTAAATTTCACATTTTTAGATATTTAAATCTGAAATTTCCTGGTGTTGTAACCGCAGGGGTCCTGACCCAAAAGGGGATTTGGGAGGGGGTTGTTTGCAAACCTGTTGTAGGGGAGTGTCAAAGCTGAATCCCCACTCTGGTACTTGGAGTGCAGACGTTGGGGGCCCGGAAGGATTTTAAAAATTAATACTTGCCAATCCAGGCTTGTATTACACTCCAAGGTTACACCTTTTCTCTGACCTTGGCTTGGTAAACGCTGCCACCACCCAAATGCAAAAAAAAACCCTTGAACCCAGGAAGGAGCACTTGGGAATTCCTTCCTGTTGGGAACCCTCAAGCCCTTTCACCCTCCTTCGGGGAAGAGCTGAGAAAGAAAACAAAGGAAATTAGCTATCGCCACCAGCTAATTAAACAACATATGCACAAACCTCTTAGGGACACACAAATCCAATTCTGTTCTTTAAAAAAGGTATTAAAAACAAAAAGAAGGGAAATACATTTGGAACGTAGGCTTTTTGCTAGATCTTAAAAGAAACAGTTACAAAAATTAAGCATCAAGATAGCTCTTCAGGTTCACCTTAAAGGTTACAAGCAAAACAAAAACATCTGGGGTTAGCACAGAGGAGTCCATTAGCCATAAGAAATAAACAGAAATAACCCTAATAACGTCTTTCTAAACATTTCTGATCTATCTACACATTTGGAGTTTCAGATAAGTAGGATTGAGGTATGATGTCTTTTTTCTTTTTCATACCTGGTTTTAAAGCTGCTTAAAACTTGACTGCTCTGTGTCTCTTCTCTTTCCCGGAGAACCACAACACACAGACAAAGGGAAGTTTTTTTTTTTCCCATTTAAAAAAGTTCTAGCCCTCCCATTGGCTCTTTTTGGTCAGGTGCCCACTCCTTTTCCTTTATCTGGGGAACTTTGTTAACCCTTTACAGGTAAAGCAAGCAGAGAACAGCCACCAAGAGGGACTTTATAGCTAACTGGCTGGTTGGGTGTCCATAAAAGGGAGCTACCCCCCCTTTCATTTATCACAGGGGGTCATGGGATTGCCACTCTCACTTCTGTGCTGCCTTTAGAGCTTCCTGTAGCTGCAGGAGGTTCATGGAGGTGGGTCTGATCTCCAACCTCATCCCCCCCCAAGAGCAGCTGTGCAGGAGATGACCCTCTCCAGCTGGAGCTAGGAGCCCCCCTATGCTCATAGGCACAAGGGGAGTTTGGACCCACATCCACAAGTCTCCTCCAGCTGCAGGAACCTCTGGGGCTGCTGCCAACTCCCAGAGTGTCCTGCAGCAGCAGGAGGCACCCAGAGGTGGGTCTAGTCCATCCCCTGCACAGCTGCTCTGGAGGGGAGAGGGGGACAAGTCTTGTCCCTCCCCAGCCAGAGCTAGGAGCCCCCTTGGCTGGGGCGCTCCTAGGAACAAGGGGACATCAGATATCACAGGGAAGGGTTACTTCACGGTCTGTGACCCATTTTTCACGGCCGTGAAATTGGTAGGGCCCTACTTATGGAATTAAACTTGATTCAGTAAGGTTTAATTTAAGTATTGAGGAAATTCATAGTATTGAAAATGTTTGAGATCTTGTGGGATTGTACCAACTTCTTTAAGGCTATGTCTACGCTGTGCTTGCATCAGTAAAACTTTTTTTATCAGTTGGGTGTGGGGAAAAAAAACACCCCTGACAGACACAAGTTTTTACTGAGGAAAAGCGCCGGTCTGGAGAAAGCTTTGTCCGCAAGAGATGCTCTTCTGCTGACAGTTTCCAC